GTTCTTGCTGCTGCTGCTGCTCTGCTGCTGCATGCGCTGTCTCTCTAGAATACATACAAGCAGCAGCAGGGACAGCAGCAGCAGCTGCTGCTGCATGCGCTGTCTCTCTAGAATACATACAAGCTGCAGCAGGAACAGCAGCAGCAGCTGCTGCTCCTGTTGTTGCTGTTGCTGTTGCTGCTGCACGCAGAAGGCCTGCTGCTGCTGCTTGTGCCCGAGCACTGCGCGCACCTGCTGGTGCTGGGGCAGCAGCAGCAGGAGCAGCAGCAGCAGCAGCAGCAGCAGGAGCAGCAGCAGCAGCAGCAGCTGAAGGCTGCAGCAACGGAGCACTGACTGTGTGATAAGAACGAACAGAAATAATTTTTTGCTGCCAATCATGAGTTCCTTTTGCTGCTGCTGCTGCTCCTGTTGCTGCTGCTGTTGTTGCTGCTGTTGCTGCTGTTGCTGCTGTTGCTGCAGCAGCAGCTGCTGCTGCTGCTGGTGCTGCAGTTATATAAGGGTACATTTCTTCTTTTTGTAGGGCCTTTAGCTTCGTTCTATCTGCTGCTGTTCCTTCTGCTGCTGCTGTTTTTGTTCTTTCTGTTGCTGCTGCTGCTGCTGTTGCTGCTGTTGCTGCTGTTGCTGCTGCTGCTGCTGCTGCTACAGGCAGCGGCTTCGGTGAGTTCTTGGGGAGACAAACGCGAATAACAAAAGGCCGACTCTCACACAGAAAGTCGTGAGCAGCAGGACCAGGGCTGCAAGCAGCAGCAGCAGCAGCAGCAGCAGCAGCAGCAGCAGCAGCAGCAGGAGTAGCAGCAGCAGCAGCAGGAGTAACAGCACGAGTTGGAGCAGCAGCAGCAGCAGCAGATGCAGCAGGAGCAGCAGGAGTAACAGCAGCAGCAGCAGGAGGAACAGCAGGGGTAAGAGCAGTAGTAGTAGCAGCAGCAGCAGCAGCAGCAGTAGCAGCAGCAGCAGCACAGTAGCGCTAGTAGCGACAGCAGCAGCAGCAGAAAAAGAGAAACAGAATCAGGAGACAGCAGATGAAATAAAATAAAACAAAACAAAACAAAAATAAATATAAATAAAATAAATAAAAAATAAAGTAAAAAAAATAAAAAATAAATAAATAGAAGACATACTATAAGACAGTGGCCCCGGTGTATTTTCGTCTCCCCTTAATAAACTCCTCCCGCAGCAGAGAACGACGCAGCATCTCACTGCAGCAGC